TCGCGTTCCATTTTTCATCGTTCACGCAGGTTAAACGTTGCGGTTTTGTTGCCGTCATATGCGAATACGTACGATCACAATGTGTATATTTAAAAATAAAATCAAGTCGATCGAACGACGAACGAGTGAACTCGTTTTGCTCGATTGAAGTTCGGTGGACACTGGTTGGTACCATAAGCAACTGTGCGTCGCCGATTCACCGTACGGAAGAATCGTGGTGTATCTATAGGGGAGAATAGCGCGATGAGCAAAGTCTAAGTTCCCCTAACCCAATTAGGTCGACTCGAGGATGCGATAAATTATCATCGTAAGCGGTGCTATTGGAGTCCGTCTGGCGCCGGCGTTCTTTTCGATCGCTTAGTATTTAAAAAGACGCTCTTCGCGTGCCAAAAGATACGCGTCTATTCTATTCATTCTTATTCTACATAAATTACACGAATCTATATCATTTTTCTCACATTCTTCTCTACTTTCCTTCTGTTCTGACAGAACTTAATAATATCGCGACTTTAATATTTTTCATTGAATTTCCATTTAAATCTTGTTTCTTTTATCAACCAGGCTCGATTGTTCGTTGAGTTCTCGCTGCGTGTTCTAGTTAGACAGAATAGTTTGCGGTGTCACGAGCAGTCGTTTGGCTAAAAAGAACCGTAGTATTATACATCCGGAGCTGCGTACCGTTACGTGGGATTGCTCTGACAATAGGGTCGTGAGAAAGCGGTCGACGCAAGTCGAATTGTTGTATCTACTTGGTACCTTCTGTCGTAATGTAGTACCCGCGTTGCACGTGTTTCAGATGCCTGTCGGGCTCGTACGAGAAGGTCCGATTTAAGCTGGTCATTTAATTTTATCTCGCGATCGTAACCTCGCGCAACGAGTATCCTCTTGCGGTGCGTTCGTATCAATTCGGAGCGTAACACATTTTCGCAAACGAAGATCAACATTTCGATGATTTATCGAGCTGGAACGTGATACATCGTCTCCCTTAATCGTTTTACTCCTCTCGATTTTACTTTCAACTCTTTCAACCACGTTTTCTTTTCACTTTCCTCGCATTTCTCTTGTTCCCTTTCAGTTTTTCCGTTTCCACGTCCCGCTCGAAAGGTTTCCCTTCCGGTAGCACGGACCACTCGACTAACTGGATGTTGGCTTCTCGGTCTTAGCTTCTGGCGCGGAACTTCCATTTAATTAACCGGCAACTCGCGCCGCGATACTTGGTCTATCGTCTCGCGCCGCTTATCCTCGTTCATCTCGACGAGAAAGTTTGGCGAGAGAATGCTCCTTTTTCTTCCGCCAGCAAGAACTCCGTGATTAGAGTTTGTTATCGCTCGTACGCGTAAATCTACCCTCCCGGAGATACTTGATTTAAAATTTTAATTCCGAAACGCGCTGAATCGTTGAGAACATTTGCCGCACGTTCACGATCGAGAGCCGCCTTTTGGCGAGTCTCGAATTCACCGATCAGACGGATCGAACGATAAAACCCGTTCGAAAGTTGCCATTTAATCCATTAAGCGTGATTTCGTTCTACGAGCGGTTACGTCGGCCAAGCGATAATTAAATTGAACCGCGAGGCTGGTATCGAGGAGAGGACGTCGAAGGCGTCCCGATAGAAATTCTTCGGCTCGAACGAATTTCCTTCGTCTCGGTGCATCGACTTCTCAGTGAAATCCTTCGTTGCTGTTGGCACGCGTTTTGCTAAGTGGAAGTTACGATGGAATCGGTATTGCTGGAACTTGATTCCTAGTAACGTTAGCGGATTTGAAAGGCATGGCTGGAATTGTTTTCTCGAACGGCACGGCTCCCAATGCGAGTCTATCGATTCTCGTTGCTCGTTTTACACCAGCTTTCTCCGGCTCGATTCCTTCTACATTGTTGCGGTAGTAAATTTTTTTCTCCGACGGAAGATTGCACCGGATGAAATCGGAAGAATAGATACCAAAGGCGTTGTATATTCTTGCCGGGAATGTATGATTGGAAACGTTCCAACGACGTTAACGTACAGTTGAAATGCCTCTGTGAAAGTACTACGATTTATTTGCATCGTAACGCGTTAAGAGAATAATGGTCAAGGTTTGATTATAGGATCATTTGGGAGAGATGAAATTTTAAATAAATTTACTTTGTCACTTTGCAATTCCCGATATAAGATATGATTCGTAATAACAATTTTATTGCTTCTCTTTTACAACAGTGATAAATAAACACAAGGGAGAATAAACAAAAACAGAATCGTCTGTGCAATGTACACATCCCTGTTACCGTCAACATAATATTTGTACATCGTTTTATCGTTGTATACTTTTACAATTCGTATCGCGTTATTGTTGCACTGTTTACTTGGTCTAAAATCAATCATTGCATTATGACGCAGATGGTGTGTCACGAATAACGATCCTGTTATCAATTACTTTCGAAAAGGAATATCATACGTTCTTCGATATCCGTCTGAATGTCGAGGCAATCAAATTAATTCAGTTAATGCCGTTAATCGATAACGTTCCGAGCGTCCGTACTCGTTAACAGTTATCGCGTCGAGATTACCTTTTCCGATAACGCGTCGAATCGCGTTAAATACATGGCGCGATATCCGAGCGGGTTGTTCGTAAAATAATTAAAAATCTTTCATTGTCGATAGCTCGGTCGAAGCACGAGACGAATATCGAATTCCGTTTGAATCGTTGACAGAGGAAGCTAGGATGGATGAAGGGAGGGTATTAACGACGGTACACAGTTGGATGGCGAAATAACGAGGATACCGGGACTCAACGATATCTGCACGCCCGCAACGGGACGCATCCCTCTTTTTTTTTCCTCCCCTTTCCTTTTCTATCCCTTTTTCTTCCCGTTCGCTCGAAACCTGTCACCATTAACGTTCCACCCTCGTTCTTCCTCTTCTTCTTTCTGTCTCGTCGTGTCTTCTCGAAATTATTCACGATTTTCATTCATCTTCCGCCTCGTTTGTTTTCCTTCGCGCGATTCCTGCTGGTCGAGAAATTATTGCGGGGTTTAAAGAGAACCTTCAGTATTTCTCAGTTAGTAATTAGTGTAACAGTAAAGGAGGTTCCTGTCCAATATCGTCGAATGTATTTACAATAATCGATAGACATTGTAATTAGGAATAATTAGTTCACCTTTTAGGAAAGATTACATTAATAACAAAACGTTAATCTAAAGGCCATGTTTCAACGATTCGATTGTCTTGCCGGAATCTATTTCAGAATATCTTCGAGGATATTTGAACACGGAGTTACCTGGAGCATTGATATCGCGAATGATACAAGGGTCTCTCGTAGTTCCTGCTCGTGGCTGTTATCGCGTCCCGTTCGATGGTAAAATTTTCAAGTACCCTTTAACGTTCTTCCTCTACGATTGCGATTACGAGTTAACGGGGTCGCGGTTGAATTCCGCCGTATTGTATCCGATGAAACTTGTTCGGTTTGAAAAGCCGCGATCTTGCGATTCTCCGCATTGAAATACCTATTTTTAGGAATTTCTTTTTTCTACATTTTCTTTTAACCACACGAAAGTCTATCCGAGTGTTCGCGTGAATGATAGAGGAACGAAGCGTTTTCGTCGGGCAACGAAATCGTGATGAAATCGGGTGTTAGCCAACGATTATGCACTTTTATGCAATCCTCTTGTTTTCCTCCTTGGAACGTTTCCTGGTGTCGGCTCGTCTCCGAGGTTAGGCGGGTCGAGGCAGCGAACGGGTACGGTTCGCTACGTTCAAACAAGGGTTAAATATAGACCGATCGCGGAGTAGCTCACGAACGACGATGAACAGGCTACCTTCTCTCCGTGGCTCGCTAGCGTACCGTAATTATGCGACAATTACAAAGCAAGGACATGGTTCGCACCGACCACGTTCCAACACCGACCATCTTCCATCTCTTTCACTTTACCGACGTTTCTACCATCCAACACTCCGTCCGTTTAACGAGCTACCATCGCGGAATTCGAGGGAAACCATTTACCGGTAAACAGTCTCTGTAATGCTATCAAAAGTAGTAACGGAGAACGAACCGTGCCTTTACCGCACGCTAATGGTGTCCATAGTTGTAACTTTGACGACGGGATCGTTAACGCAGTCGGAACGATGCTTTTATTCAAACATTGCATCCCCTGAAATGGTGATTATTTTAGGAAAAAGGGATAAGGTTCGAGGTAAACATTTTCAATTTAGATAGTTATAAATAGCACCCGATCGGAGCTTCTTAATATTTCCTTTTGTTATTAAATCGAACCGATCGGTATTACCCACTAATCGCTATTACCTCGTTCTCCTCTAATTGTATAGCTAGGCGAATCAGGTCGATGTATTCGATCAGGTTCGTGCTCGAAGCGTAATCTTGCCTGGTGAAATTCGTGCCGGAGTATGTAGCTCGTTTTCCTGATCAATTTCTATTTTTTCTTACAAACCGTATTATTCGCGAGAATTGCAACCGAGTTTGAGATATTTTTTTTTGAAATAATTAATGAGAGGAATTTGGGAAAATGGTATCGTGAAACGTGTCTTGTCGAGGGATTGTTCTAATTTATTAATCGAACCCGATGAAATCGCGTTGATTTCGGGTGAGCGATGGCGGAGCGGGATGAAAATTATACGGTTGCTCGAAAGCTGGATCGATCGTGGCTAAGTTTGCTCGCGAAATAAATATCCGGCAAATTGAATAGGCTAGCGTGTCGTGCTCTACAACGTGCTTGTTAATTGTATTTGTATAGGTATCGTATAACATTGATGCGCAGGTGATTACCAAAAACGGTAGGGGGTAGGTCTCGTACCGTCCTGGCTAATTTACCGCTGAAAATCGATTGGCTTCAATTTTAATGCACCATTGTTAAAACAAAGTCGACGTAGAAAATATTTCAAACGCGTTGAAATTTTTCAATCGAACTTATGGTAAACATCGAGTTAAAAATAGATTAAATTACTGTAACCCTAAATCTTTGAAAGTCGACGGAAGTTTTGTAAACAAATTTTTCTGTTTAATTTTCAGTGCCTCTGCGAAGTGATGACCTGTTTAATCTCCGACTCTTGAGAACGCTTCGCTTGCTGATCAATATGTGGTGAGTCTTATAGATATATCAAATTCTATTTTAAAGCAATTAATCGATCGCCAGCCTTTTCTCGAAACACCTATGAAATGCATATTTACACATGCTGTGACCGCGAGATAATCGTATCGATCGTTTAACGAGAATCGGTTCGCATTCATCGTCGCGATCAAATATTTGCCGATATCTCGTCGCGCTCCCCACGGTATACCGCAATATTTTCACGCGCGGCTATTAAAGATCCTGACGCGTAGGGAAACAAAGGGTGTTTAAACGAGGTTAACGGGGGGGGGGGGGGGGAAGGAAAAAAGAATGCGGAGGAGAATTTTTCAGCGATGTTACGGGTCAAGCAGCCAGGATATAATCTGTTGAGCGGAATCTCTGGTAGAAATTGCTAAAAGCGAGCGCAAGAGCGTCGCTGGTGGCGTTTTCTCCTCTTGACGTAACAGCGAGATAGCAATCCTCCCGCGGTACCCTAATTAAATTGAATCACGAAATACCCGGAGCAGGAAATACCCAATGAAGACGTACATTAACAAATTAAAGTGCCTTCTCGTTCGAGGTATCCTTGGACATTTGCCAGTCTTCCTTTAAACGTTAATAAAAAGAATACAGATGGAGGGGAAAAAAAAAACAACTGCCCGGTCTGTCTACAGGATTTTTGTCTCTAGTCGACCACGGTGAAAAATCTGATACTCGTATCTATTTTGATTTTTTCCACGCGTCGAATCGATCCGTTTCTAGATGGATGCATAATCGACGTTCGCAAAGGCGAATTCACTTTGCCTCAACATTGTTCTTGTTCCTTGGTCCGTAGTCGCTCGAACTCTGACCCGTTTCTAAACGGATGTTATCCTGGCTGTTCGGGTTATGCTATGCTCGCGTATCGATCGCTTTCACCCCACTGTGTTACCTTCCTGGCCAACGATTTCCCCGATACCGGAGATCGTGCTGAAATTGAGGTAAAATATGCGAGCTACGATCTCGCACGGATCAACGAGAACCGGGATTTTCTTCGGAATAAAGAAGCAACGTTATAAATGCACACCATTAAGGATACCGATCGCTCTAACAGTAGGTGTTCAACAAATCGAATTCTTCCTTTTCTTTTATTTCAAAAATTATACATACTTTCGAGAGGTAAAAAATTAAGTGCAGGAAGATTGTTAGCTTTGCTCAACCATATTGCTACCCTTTAAGATATCTCTGGTAGCGTACTAGTTATTAGCTACAATGTTTCATATAAAGACCATGAATTCCATGTAACTCGTGAGGGTTAAAGTGTGAAATTAAAATAAGTAACGCGGGTAGTTTGGTCAGGAAACGCGTTTTTTTTAAAAATATTTATATGTTCGTTTTCGAACGGATACCGATTAAATGGTAAAACGCGACTCGCGAGATAGCCAGGCCGCAAATACATAGGTGGACGCCGGGCTAAACCGGCGTCGTCGGTAGTACGAGATGAATCAATAAACCACGGCGTCGTGATCCCGCATGCCGAACATTTACGCGGACCCGTCCTGCCACTTTGTCGTTTATTTTTCGCCGGCCGTGGAAAAACTCGGGAAAAATACTCGATCGGAGCGTGTCCTAAAAACCTCTGCCCGCTCTTCGCGAATTGCTTTTCGTTCGATCCACTTTTTATGATCTTCCCTCGTTCCTTTTTTTTCATCTTCTTTTTACCTTCATCTCCACTCTTGCTTCGATCGTTTTCGTATCACCGTGGACGAGCTATGAAACGACAATCATCGCGATGCGTCCCCGCTAGAAAATATTACAATAAATTTATTGAAAATCGCTTTCTTTCTGATCTATTCTAAATCTCTGCTTAAACGCTTGTATCGCTTAATTAATTCATCGCCATTAAGAGAAGCGAACGAGCGAAGAAGTCGATTTAATCGAATTCGAAACTTTCCCGGACGTTTTATTAGGTATCCAGAAAGATACGACTTCCTCGTTCCCCCGGGCGAGAGGAACGATAACGAAAGTCGTGCTAGTTTGTACGGTATACGAGGACTGTCTAAAATTGGATTTCGTACGAGTGGAAAAAGCGGGATTAGTCGCCGGGTCCGCGAACTGCGACAAGGGAGGAAGTTGTTAGTCACGTTCATGACCATCCGGAGAATGACGACGTAGTTTAGTTGGCAGGACGTTGCTGCGGATTTATTACGTCCCCAACGGGGATTCGACCTCGACAATGGCCACCAGATTCTCCTTACTTTAGTCAGTTGCGTTATACTTTGAAAAGAAGCACCGTAACAACCAACCCCGTGTTAATTGCATTATCATCGTGTCAACCGTCCAAGTTCGCGGAGTCTTCCTTTTCAAATGGTACGCTCTCTAAATTTTTGCTCGCGTTTCATAATCGTTCATTTGAATTCAGTAGCCGGGCCAGTGTCGAATTAGCCAACCGCGTAATAGCCGGCTTTTCCGTTCAGTTTACCGAAATGGATGTTACTTTTCGCCATAAAGCTCGAATAACGATCTGTAATTTCAGGTACGCCGGCCAATGTGCCGCAATTCGCACACCGGTTTGTAATGTTTCTCTCTCCTCGACTGGTACACTGTTCCCACCTTTACTCGTTTCTCCGTTTGTCTACCTGTCGGTCTGTCTGTCTCGTAGCGGGTTCTCTCCTGTTACAGCGAGTCGCACGCGCGTGCACCCTATTCATCTCGATTATTATACTCTCCGCGGCGGGATTTCATAAAAGCTCGGGCGCAACGAACGCGCTGCTCCCTGACCTGCTTTTATTATTTTCTACACTCCGTCCTCTCGCCACCTTTCTTTTTTTTTTCCTGTTCCGTTGTTAATTGCCAGGAGCAACAGGTTCATCTAGCCCGAATCCACTCGCGGACCGCGTTCCAGATGACCCTTACGCGAATCTCTTAGATCGCCGTTGTCCACGTATATTCTTTAACCCATTTTGATAATTAACATATTTGCTTGCAATTAGAGGGACTTCGAAATTTTCGGTACTTGGGAGTTGATATTCCCAACTTTTGTTTCTCCGAATTTACGAAATAAGGACTTAAAAATCAGTCTTTCTATCAGTTTACTCTTGGCAGTGTGCTTCCAGCTGTTGGTCCGGAAAGTCGGCGACGATCCAACTTACAACGAATAAACAGTTCCAGCTCGTTTCGTCCGATGATCCCTTTTCGAACGAACACCCCTATGTAATCAAGCGTTTCTCTGTATTCTCGTGAACGACTAACGATCGAAAGTTTCGTTGAATTTGTCGAGCAATCTCGTCGAATCAACCGGGGCCTAGTTCTCGTTCACGCTTTCGTAGTATAGATTGAGTTTCAAAGAGTCGAACTGGTCGAAGAAGATCGATCTTCTTTTTCATCCCCTCGACGGGGTTGTAACTGTGCGTGTAACAGGGTACGAGGTAAACTCGCGTTTACTAATTGACGAAACTTCGAACGATGTCTGTTGGATGAACCGTTTATCGGCTTCGACGAGTTTCTGCCTCTCGTAGATAAGCTCCGATAATGCGAGCGAAAGCGAGATAGAACAAATTCCCGAGCGAGAAGGGGACAGAGATAGGGTGATAAATCTTTAATACGATTTCAATCGAACTGCATATAATTTAACAAGTGGTATACGCGTTTATACACTGTCGATGAATTAACTGCGACGAGGCAAACGAACATAGGGGTAAATTATATACGAAACGAAATCCCTCCATATTTGGAAACCATTCGAAAATTCAATGTTAAATATTTGAAAAACTGGAGTAAAAAAACGTATGGAAACGTAAATCCAAGAAATTCAAGCGTGATCACTGCGACCCGCCCTCGACCCGCTGATAAACGAGGAAATTAAACGGTAATTAGCGGCGGTCGATCCGAAATCGTCGAGTTGCACTTCCGTGACGCAATCGACAACGACGTGGAATGGATCGCCTCAATTTGTCCGATTGAAACTATCCGGACACTATGCTCGGAATTCCTATTAACCTTTCTCGATCTTCGTTTCTCCCTCTCTCTCTCCCCCTAGTTACACCCTCCCTTACACCGTAGAGCTTGCTCGTTTTCCCGTGTTCGCTATATCTCTGTCCACCCCTATCGACGACCAGTTTGGGTCTGCGTGGCGCGATATTTCATTCGAAATGCCGAGAGAGGAATCTTAGATCGATCCCTTTGGCCTCCATTCTCTTGCGTGTCCCTTCGTTACTCGCATTTGTACACGTCGCTTTCGCTTCTACCCTCGCTTTTCCCTTTGTTCACTTTCCACGGAATTTTCAGACATTTTTTTTGCTACCAGTTGTTACTTTACAGGGGAAATTAGGCTTTCTGGGTCGATTTAGTTTTAGACGAATAGTTGAATTATTGAATTATTAACGTCAAAAATAATAGTGTCAACGTGTTACATTGACCCATACCTTAGCAGGCGAGAGAAGAACGAGGTCCGTTGGCAAATCAGTTGATAAACCTGTTCGAATCGGTACGGGTATCAACTCAAAGCCCATTAAAGTTAATCGAAGTCGGTTCAAGTCAAAGTCCATTGACTGAAACTACTAGAATACGTTTTAGGAAGTCCTTAGACTACACCGAAGTTTCTCTTTGAATCCGAGAAATTTGTTTGATCGCCAATTAAGTTCTCTTTGGAAATTCACTATAAATGAATAATTAGCTTAATTGGAGCTCGTCGAACTGTAATCGTCGAAATCAAAGTTAAAATAACAATTACCACCGTGGAAATGAAATTTCATGAACAAAATTACTTAATTTATGTCCCATCTGATACAGAGAAAATATGTAATTTAATATGTAAACGTGTAAAAGCTGTAAATGCTGTAGGGGAAACGTTAATAAATATTATAATGATACAGTTTACTACTCGTATCAATTTTCATACCGTTGATAAACCAATTAATTAATCGTTCATTTCGAACGAAACGTCGAGAGATACAGTTTGTGTTCTCGTCAATGGCGGTCGATGTTCATTTATATTAATCGTTCCGTTGGTCCCGGTTGAAAATCAGTTCGAACAGAACGTTGACGTGATA